CTAAATAACCTTAATTGAAAACTATACTAAATAATTCAAAATAAATTTAAATAAAATTTTAAAGATTTAATTTTTGATTTGATCTCCAAGTATATTCATATTCGTTTTATCCAAAATATTCTCTATCAATATCTTTCAAATTAAATCTAAAAAATATGCATAAATAAGATAAAATCAAATAGAAACTGTGAAAAATATTAAAGATGTCATTTATATTTTAAAATTAGATATTTAGATAGTTAAAATTCAAAAGTTGAATTGTGATCGTTGCTACCAGAGGAAGGCCCCCTCTTTTGTCATATGTTCCTTCTTTTATATATGAAAGTAATGCGTCTCCGGTGCGTGTGCAGCTAGAAAACCTAACAATCTAATAAAATAATAAATTTATTCCAAATAACCTTAATTAAAAACTACACTAAATAACTCAAAATAAATTTAAATAAAATTTTAAAAATTTAATTTTTAATTTGATCTTCAAGCATACTTATATTCTTCTTATACAAAATATTCTCTATCAATATCTTTTAAATTGAATCTAAAAAATTTACACAAATAAGATAAAATTAAATAGCAACTGTACAAAAATATTAAAAATATCATTTATATTTTAAAATTAAATATTTAGATAGTTAAAATTTAAAAGTTGAACATTGACTAATAAAATAAAATAATATCTAATTAAACTTATTTAGCCTCAAATAAATATTTAAAATTCTAAATTAAATGAAAAAATATATATATAATTGTCATTTATTAGTTTTGATTTAATTGTTAAGTACATAACTTGTTATATATATATATACTTCCTTTATTTAAAAATATAAGGTATTTTTAACTGAATCTCACCCCTTAATAAAGTAGTTATTTATTTTTAAACTAATTCTATGTTTTTATATTTATCTGTATTTAATAGTGTTTTACTTTAAAAAAATATAAAGTAATATATTCAATATAAATTCTTTTAAAAAAATGATTATACTTTAAAAGATTCAAAATATTTTATATTTTTATTGTTTATATTTTTTTATTAGAGATAATTCTATTTAAAATACGATCAAATACTAAATGTAAGTAAATTTTTTATAAAAATTCAAATTTCTATTCAGTACGTTTTGACGGATTATATACAATGACGCATGTAGAGGGAAGGGGGTGCTTGCCCCCACAATTTTTTATTGGTCCTTTGGAAATTTTTTTAATTTCATTTGTAAAAAATGTAAAATTAATGTTTGCTCCACATATTTTCAAGTAGCTTTTATGTTGACCCCTGTTTTTGTTCGTGGATTCGAATATCTTGAAAGGGGGGGGGGGGGGGAGAGAGAGAGAGATATCAGGGGAGGAAAGCAAGCAGGGTGCACAGAACGTTAGGGGAAGGAGTTGCGCAGCAGATTGGAGGCTTGTGGGAAGAAAACGAGAATTAAAAGCAGTCGAGGGAAAGGGACGTGTTTGTGATTTTGCGAGATTGTCCACAAATATTTGGCACCCATTGTCCGGTGTCTAACTCTGCTCCTTTGCAATGCAGCTACAGCAGCCATGGCCCCCCTCCCTATTGTCTCTTCATCCTGCCCTTGTCCTCTGCCCCGTCACCCTCTGTCCCAACACGCTCTTCATCTCATCTTTCTTCAATTATTTCAATCCTACTTCATCCTTACATTTGTTTTTTTAATTATGGCTATTTCTTTTTCAAGTTAATTCAAAATATTTTCCACCATATATTCTATTTTTTTAAGAAAAAGAATCAAATAATAATATCATCTGGGATACGATAGTTAAATTATAGTTAATACTCCTCATATCCAATTCATATGGCCAAGAGATTATTTATTTTGATTTAATTTATAGATCACTCTATTAATTATTGTATTTATTTTTATCTTTTTTATCCCTATTAAATGCTAGGATATTTTATTTCTGAAATATATATACTCCTTCGAGTTATATTTATAGTGTAAAGTCACCTTTATTAATTCACCATTAACATAAAACTCAAGGTAATCTTTAGACTAATTCAATTATATTATCAATTTTGTAATCTTTTGCAGAAACAGGATCTCAAATTTTATATTTAGAAAATTCTTACAACATCATTTAGTAAATTCAAATTAGAATAAAATGTTATTACGAAAGCATGAGATATTCTTTAAGAGTCAAAGGGACTCAAAACTTGTTGGAAAATATCAAGTAGTGAAAGACAAAGAAATTTGTCGCAGCTTGTTTTTCTCTATGATGTATGCCAAGGCTCAGGCATCATGCACTGTGACATACTGCACATAATTTAATAGCTTTGTGCTATCATATGATAGCACCCGAGGTAACTTTTGATGCGTTTCATTTCTCCATTTGATATCCGATCGAGGTGATTTAGATATTTGTAAAAATCTCTTTTCATAACCTCCTAGTGTTACAGGTTTCACTTCCAAATTATTTCACCTAAGTTAGACACTCAAACATATTTTCTCAACATTTTACATTTTTTACAATACAACAGTGTCCAAAACCCCATATATGTACTAAAGGCTAAAAGCCACTACTAAAACCTAGACCACATTCAATGAATTTAGAACTATCTGTGCAATACATCACATTCATACAATTATAAGAAAATATCATTTTCACTTATGAGCCCCTTAAATATAAAAAACAAAATAGGGAGGTTTTGCATTGCATTTAATCAAATAACTTTACAATTATAACTATTTCAATAATATTATATTTGTACTAGTATTTTAGCTCTAATAATAAGAATTAAATTTACTTACAACATTCCAAGACTTAAAATACATCCCACAATTATAATCAACACTGTAATGCAAGTATAAACAAAAATGTATCTCTTAAATGGCAATACCCTATCAACTACACAAAGTAAATGAGTTTTGGAGACTTTATAGTATAAATAATAAATTCTTAAATCTCTAGAGCCTTTTTTCTTTCTGTACCAAACTAAAGTTTATAAAATATTGAAAGAGATGAGTGAATATAACTACTCAATACTTAAGGTACGTTTATCTTATACAGTTACATATTAATTAAAAAAAATATATAATTAAGAGATGAAAACTCATATGCATTTAATCACATATAAAATTATCATAGTTACAAAAGTTATCTTATTCTCATTTTCCACAACTCATATTACAATACACATTACCACAATATAAACAATCATGTGACAATGGCCCAATCAACAATAATAATACATATTGCCACAATAATAACAACTATGTGACACCCACTCTTGAACTGTGGCTTTCCCCATCCTCAAATCTTGAAATGTCGTAAACACTAAGCTAAACTTCTCAACAAACTAGTGGAGTTAGCCAAGTTTAAGTTTCTCAAAAAATAATAAAATAATTCCTCGATAAATAGTGGGATAAAGCTAGCCTTTGTTCATCAAAAGGCGATCATATGATATCATATAGATTTATCTAATTCTCTCTTAAGCAAACTCTCATCAAATGATCATGTAATGTATGATGCTCGCTTATCTCACAAATTCACAAACTCAAATAACTCATTGAGTTACAATAATAAACTAACCCCTGTGAGTATATTTAATAATTTCATAGTTACTCTTCCTTTCAAAACTCAGAAACGTATTCTTCACATCACACGATCATCAAATCAACTTATCAACTTCTTGTTTCAACTTGTAATATGAAAAAAATTCAAGTTCAGCTTTACAATTTCCGAATTAGTTTAATAAAACCTCACATGATTTTTGGCATACATTACAATTACAAATTCAATTATTCAAGTCAAATCTTTCATCTTCACAAACATAAATTAATTAACAAACAACTTCAACAAAAAAAAAAAGATTTCCCTATTGGGAAGGGAGAAGAACGACTTAAGAGACTTACTCTTACGATTTAAAAACTTCAAAATGCCTCCAAATTTCTTAAAAATGAAGCCCTAGTAGAGCTCTCTAAGTGTTCTTTATTTTTTCCTTTTAACTCTTCTATTTTTCCCTTTGATTTGCATCTTATTTCTATAAAATTAGAGCTATGTGCTGTAGCATACATCACATGTGACGTAGCATGTGGTATATGTAACATCCCAATTTAAATTTTAATAGTTAATTTGGATTAATAGAAATTTAAAAAAAATAAATATTTAGAGGTAAATAAATTAGTAGAAAATGATCATTAAATCTAACTTAGGATATAATTCTAAATTAAATTTTTTTTAAAAAAAAATTAATTAAAAAAAATATTATTAAATTATTATTATAAAAAAAAAGGTATGCAAAAAAAAAAAGAAAGGAAGAAGAAGAAGAAAACGAATTTGCTTCGTCCGCCGCCTCAACAGTAACAATAATAAAATAATAATAAAAAAAAGAAGAAGAAGAGAGAGAAAATAATTAAAAAAAATGTGGGACCCACTGAATTTTTATAAAAACTCACCTTCCTTCATTTCCTCATTCATTCCTGCGCGCGAGCTGAGGCGGAGAGAAGCGAGTTGCCGGTGCGAAATATCTAAATTTTTAAGGTAAGAGTTTTTAATAGGATATTTAGGGTGTGATTTTAAGCTTTTCAAGACTAAGTAAGTGTTCTAAAAATTTTTCTTAGTCATCCTTCTTATTTAGTTTCTGAGTTTGTAGTGGTAGAAAATTTAAGATCTGGAAGAGGGATGAATTTATGTTGATTTATTGAGGTTTAGATGATTATTTGGGATGAGAAATGAATTATTATGGTTATAGGATTATGATTCTAAGCTAGAGACTTAATTTTTAATTTTTGGGTATTTTAGGTACGAATTTATGAAATAAAAAGAAAATTTTGATAATAAAAATTAGTTTAGAAGTTAATTTTTAGATTATTAATGTTTATTGATAATTAAAAGAGGAGTTAAAAATTTTACTTAATAGTATTAACTATAGATTTGTATTAAGATTGAGATTAAGAATTATGTTATATTTTTAATTCTATTATTAGAATTATTTTATTAGTTTCAAAAATTGAAACTAATATTTATAAATAATATGTTATTTGTAGATTGTATTACTGGTGAAGATTGTGGTGAGAGAGAAATTTTAAGGAATAATTTATTGAAAAAGCCACAAGGTAACCATGCTTTTAATTTGTGATTAGTGTTACTTCATGTTAATTGGGTGATTATTGAGAAAATTATAAATTTTTTTAATATTGTATAATTGTGCAATATTATTATGAATTTGTTTGATTATTGTGGGAGGTGTTGGGAGACTTGCTATTGTTGTTGTATTTATGTGCCACGTGGTACGCCCCTATTGGAGCTCAATAGGTGGTTTGTAAGGGCTCGGGCTAATCTACCTTTGGCCGGGTAATTTAGCACCGAGTGAGGGCTACGGCTCGAGGTTAATGGAGGGATATAAGGATGGTTGTTTGTATTTATTGTAATATTTCTTATATTTGTTGGGATTATATTATTTTTAATTCTCACTTAGTAAGCACACACTTAACTGTTTGTATACACTATCATAAATTGGCTTTGGTTACTGGGACTTTTGAGTCTCATTATGTGGTTAACAATTTTCAGGAGAAGAGCCACGAGTGACACGTGGAGGAGTCCCAGAGGCTTAGTGGTATAGATCCACTGTCTCTTTTGAGTATTTAATTTATGATTTATAATGTGTTATATTGCCAATATTAGGGCTTTTTGTTTATTGTCAATTATATGAATATATAAATGTAATCATGTCTTTCAAACTATTTCTATTTTTGGTACAATTTGGATGACTGTAATTTTAATATTTGGTTTACTTTGGATTGGTTAAAATGGCATGATTATAAGGCCAAATAACTGGCTTGTGTTGAAAATTGACTAAATTGCTTATTTTATTTGTTGGGAGTATAAGGATGGATAAATGTAATTTAGTTTACTTGTTGGGAGTATAAGGATGGACAAATGTGATTTAGCCTAATGGCATGTGGGAGGTAAAAATTTATCTGAAATGTTATAGTGTGTGAGTTGAAGCCAATTATAAAATATTTTATATCGAAATTATTGATATAAAAATGTGTTGGGTGGCTGTAACCCAACTATGGTTGAGTTAAATTATTTAAAAAAAAAAATTTGGTGTGTTACAGTATAAAGAAAATTCTTCTCATTCTTCTAGCCATATGCCCCATGGCACATGATACACACGCCATGACATATGACAAAGAGACTTTTTCATTTGTTTTTACCTCTCTTGATGCCTAAGTGACTTAATTTTACTTCGGAACCAAGTTTATTGTTGAAACCACAACCAAAAACAATTATTAGTCCTTATTAACCACACATCACATTAATCTTATTTAATTATTCTTGATTAGTTTGATTAGCAAGAGGGTTTAAATTTAGAGGATGTTATACATAGGGTAGAACGAGAATTTTTTTATCCTATTTTAAGTTATACCATTAAATTTTTATCATAAATTTTTTCTTTTATCTTCTGTTAAACATTGAAAAGAGAAAATATATTGTTAAAATATGTACATTTATTAAAAGCAAAGTTGAGAATTTATTAAATTTTTGGACAGAATTAGTGAGTTTTAAAATTTTTCTTTAACTTCAGTAAAATATATTAAAAATGATTTATAAATAAGATCAAAAGAGTATTTAATAGTGATAAAGTTAAAAACTTACAAAATTTTTAGATAAAATTAATAAAATTTAACATTTTTCTTAATTTTGATAAAAATATTAAAAATGATTTATAAATAAAAGCAGAAGGAATATTTAATAGGTGCCTTAAATGAGAAAAAGGCTTCGTTTTTTTTCATGATGTTACTCATACAAAAATCAATTATTTAAAGGGTATGAAGTTTATTATTCTTAACTTAACCCACAATGCATAGGAACTGGTTTTAGTATAGTACTCATGCTCAGTAAGGTGATGAAATATGCACTATTCAAGTTTAAAAGATTATTTTATTTTTATTAAAATAAAAATTATAAGAAATTTGATAAATATATTTTATCTTCAATTTGGATAATATAAATTTAATTTAAATAGTTTAATTTATTATTAAATTTTTTATAAATTAATTATTCAAATATATTTTGAATAATTTCAAAATCTGATGGGCACTAGGGTGATGATCATCAGAATCAAATTCACAATGCATGTCGTAGCTACGGAACAATGAATCTGATTTTTAGTGAAATTGAAACTGGAAGCTATTGAATTGGGCTAATAATTTTTTTATTAGCAGAAGTTAAGACTGTAAAGGCATAATTGAAATGGAAGTACAAAAAATGTTAGCGTCCGTAGGGGCAAATGGTGGGTCGCCACTAACACGAAAATAACGGAGGTACGCCTACTTGGACATGTTTCCCGCCTGCTATTGGCTCTCCCTCCACCTTCCGTTTTCCATACGGCGATTCCCTGTCCTGTACCCTCCTTACTCACCGTCCACGTGTCCCTTCCCACCCCGCTCACCCTCCACCTGTCTAATTCCTCTTCACATTTCTTCTTCTTCTTTTTTCCAAGTAATATATCACATTTTAAATTTACTAAATTAAATAGTCCCTCCACCCAATTTATAAGATGCGACATGTTTTTAAAATTAAAGATCAAGAGATATAGGAGAATGATAATATAGTTTTTTTTTTAAATTATTACAGTTAAGTCATCTATAAATTTTTTTAAAAAATAAATTATAAATATTAATTCATACAATTATAAATAAGAATTGAATAAAAAATATAATTAAAATTTAATTTTATATTAATAATTAAAATTAATGAATTTAAAATTTTTTAACCAATACCTCTATAAATTAGTATTTGTTATAAAAATTTATTAGGAATTAATTGTTATTAGTTATTTCTTTTAAAATATACCGTCATTACTATGGGTAAGGCCACCTCAAATGTTGAGAGATTAAGAGTAGGATATGATATTACTTTTATTAGTAGAGGTCAAATGTTCAAATAAAAATAATATTTTATCAAATTTAATGAAGTATTTATTACTTGTTTTCAAAAGTAACTTTATCTTTGAAAAAATTACATATAAATTTTATAGTAGAAACTTATTTAAAAATAAGTCTTTACAAAATTTAAAAATTATAACTAAATACTTAAATATTTGAGTGTATTTGGCAATTGAGGTACAAAAACAATACTTCTCTTATTAAAATACATTAAATTACATTTAAAAAAATGATGCAGTTGTATTTATAAAACATGAGATGTGATTTGTAAATTAAAAATTTTTACTTATAAATTGTGAAATTATCGTTATAAGTTAATAATAAATGACTTTAACATATTATTTATAAAACATGAAATATGTGACTTGTGAATTAAGAGTTTTTACTTCTAAATTGTGAAGTGATAGTTGTAAACAAAAGTAAATATGACTTTGGTTTTATTATTTATGAAACACATAACATGACTGGTAAATTAATAATTTACTCTTATAAATTATAAAATTGTAGTTATAAGTAAATAATAAATATAATTTCTGATATTAGTGTTTATTTATTTTTATAAGTAGGGGTATAAAAGTTTTTTCATCAAAAAATTTAATTATACTCATGTCTCATAGGATTAGTTGTATTTTTTCAAATTCACTGGACTTATTTGTAACCAAAGTTTTTTATACAAGGCCTGTATGTAGTTTTCTCTTTATCTTTTTCACTCCTGTCTTAAATAACAGCCCTCGTTTGATTAAAGAAATTCTTTAAAAATTATAATTTTTGTATATTTGACCAAAATTTTAATTAAAAGAGGTGCTATTTATAAAATAAAGAAAGAAGGAAAAATTTGTTAGTACTTATTAATTTTTAATACTTTTCTTTATATATTTGCTTTTGTTAAATATTTTAAATAAAAATATCAGTAATAAAATTTAAGAATATTTATTAGGGATAAAAGTAAAAATTTATTAAATTTTAAGATAAAGTTAATAAAATTTAAATTTTTTTTAATTTTAATAAAATATATTAAAAATAATTTATAAATAAAATGAGAGCAAGAGAAGTTAATAAGTTTCTGCATATCACTGTGAAGATGACGATGTAACATTTCGTGAATCATCATGATCCGGCGGGTCTTGATCCTGAAAAAAAGGTCGGTGTTGCATCTGATTCCATCCCAATTTTCTATCGTGATAGACTTTTAACAACTACCATCTGATTGGTCCCAGAAAGATGCTGAATTGCTGATGAAGATCGTCAAACCTAGTAAGATCAGACGGTTCAGAACCCGACTCTTGGTGGGAAACCAAATGCCCCCATTACTCGCTCTCTCGCTGCCGCTGGCCTATTTATATATACATTCTCTACTCTGTGTGGCTGGGACTGCGGTGTACTACCAGCCATGATCAAAGCACCGAGGTCTGTGAGATACTCATCTCAGACACCAGTCTCTGTTTCCTGGTGAATTTTCTGGGGAAACAAACGCCAAGTCTGGGTCTTTTTCGGGGATTTACAGCCATGGGTGGTGGAGAAATCAAGAGCCTGAAGAGCTTCCAGTTCCGGCATCATCATGGGAAGAGACAACAACAAGGGATTCCGAAAGGGTGCTTGGCCATTAAAGTGGGTCAAGAAGGAGAACAACAGGAGAGATTCGTGGTGCCAGTGTTGTACTTCAATCATCCATTGTTCTCGCAGCTTCTCAAGGAAGCCGAGGAGGTATATGGCTTCGATCAGAAGGGGACCATCACCATCCCTTGCCACGTCGAAGTATTTCGGACTGTACGAGGCTTGATCGACGGAGAGAAGCCATTTCATCAGCCCCACCATCATGTAGGGTGTTTCGGGTTCTAATAATTCTGGTCCAGTTCAAGAGCGAAAATCATATGCAGACTGACATGGCCGCCCGAAGAAAGAACTGAAGACATGTTTTGAGTCAAAGATTAATAATAATCTTTGAGTTCTTGAATTAGTGCTGTAAATTCTATGCATCTTTTGCTGTACTTTTTCAAGATATAGATGTAATGAAAAAGAGATGCTTTTTCTGTCTCATTCTTTGGTGTTTCTTCAAGCTTTCTTTTAGTTGTTGGAGAATTGTTCGGTACCATTTTGATGGGATAGTCCCTCGTCAGAATCCGTATACTTTTAGAAGGGCAGAGAAGAGAAAAGCAAAGAACATAAGGAGCGTATGTATGAAGGCCCTAGATGTGTTCTTTTTGGAGGCATTATCTATCCATTGATGATTGGATTCGCCATAGTCAATGGTCATTGGTCACCTACCACTCTTCAAGAACCAAGAGAGTACCCTGAACCAGTCACTATGGACAAAATCTATCTTGTAAGGTTCCTGGTTAGAAATTTTTATCCATATTTTTAATAACTTCCTTGTAACTTAGAGCAGTTTTAACATCTTTCTGCTTGTAATTTGAGCATTGTATGATGACATTTCTTTAATTAATAAGGATATAATTGAAATATTGCTAATTTTTTTTTTGAAAAAATAAAGCAATTTAACGATTTTTTAGTACGCATGAAACATACTGAAACACCTTTTATAAGGAACCGGAAGTAATATATGTCATAAAATCTACCTGAATCTGCAATTTATATTAAACTCTATACAAATTACAAGTTACAATCTAGTTGACAGATGTCTCTGTTTTTTTCTCCAAAATATTTGTGTTAAAATCACGTACAATATGGATTTACAAAACTTATTCTGCAAAGTCTATATAAAATTACAAAAAATTACAAAATCAGCTTTAATTTAGAAAAATCAAAATTAAAAATAAAGATAAACTAAAAGTTACAAATTTTTAAATTAAAATAAAATTTTAAATTATTCATAATGGAGCGAATAAACAAAATCTCCTAATTTCTTAAGCATATAATTGCAAGAAACAAATACTGAAGCATAGAGTTGCAAAAATCCTCCCAAAAGTCGCATTATACTTTTATATATTAATAAATTTATCTTTGAGATTCCATCAAAAAAAAAATATCTTTGAGATGAATATATATATATATATATATATGTGACATGAAATATGAGATATTCATAATTTTTGAATAGTGTATTGTATTATAAATTTTATATCATACATTGATATCGATGATAAAAATTATTTATTTTGTTTTATTTTTATTTTTTTGGGAATAATTAGTGTCAATGAATGCACCGAGTTTTTTATTGTTTCCTTTTCCTTGTTAGATGAAAAAGGAGATGTTTTAAGAATGAATACAGCAAGAAAATGAATTAGATGGCCAAGACAGTCGTATTTCTGAACATTATTAGTTTAGATTCTCTGTATTTGTTAAAAAAAATGTAGAAAATACATTTGATATGGATGGTATAAAATAAACTAGACTTAAATATTTTTGTAAAATAAAATATGGAATATCTAAATATGATCTGAATACTATATATATATATATAGTGCAAAGAAGACATGTCTTAGCTTGATCCCCTGCTACATTTGAAGGGATTCTATTCCTTGGAAATATTGAAATGTATGGACGACGTTGGTATAGGCATTTGAAACAGGACACATCGCATTCATATTTGTGGGGTCTAAATTTAACTCAATCACTTATAGTTTTTTCTTCCTTGGAATTTCTGCGAATGAGTTGTTAATTATTAAATAATAAATTAAATAATTGTATTTTTTATTCGAGTGGATGGGTACTTATTATTATTCTAAATTGGTTTCTATAATTAAACAAAGAGAAAAGACCTGCCAGGGAAGGTAGTGTTGTCCAAAATTTTAAATACTTAAGTTCTTAATGCTAATAATTAAATTTTTGATGCCATTATCTATTCGTAATATTTTAGTTTAAAGTAAAATATTTATAACTAAGCGCTCAAGAATTTAGATTCACGGTGTAAACGTGCGGGGAAATAAGGTCGGTCTCTCGACGGGGAAACAATCATCCGTTTTAATTAATAAATAAAAAGTTTGCTTGTTTTTAATTTGATTAAAAAAGAGATTGAACGCAAATTTTTTGATGCATAAGAAGAATTTAAATCTTTTATTTTAACACATGTCTTTCCACCCAAATATATTAAATATATAAGTTTATGTATCTAAGTTTTTGGTTGAAAAAACACCCCAAGTCCTTTTCATTATATAGATTAGCATAACAAATTTTGCATCTTCAAAAAGCTTGAGTTATATCTTCTAGAATTAATCACATGAATTATATATTCAAAAAAGAATAAAATAATATAATATAATTGTTGTAAAATGTGTATTTCTCCGTTCATTTAAATTTTGATTTGAATGATTCGGAATGACCTAATCATAATATTAATTCGAATAATTTGAAATTGATTTCTTTACATTTTTACATATAAGTTAAATACAAGATACACTCTCACCGATGGTCCTCTGCTTATACATACACATGAAGATAAGCTTCAATGAATAATTTTAAAAGGACATAGTATATTGAAGATACAGCCACAGGAAAAAAATATTGTATTAAAGAGAACATATTCTTTAAATTAGAAATGGGCTAAATTTTGAAGGCAGAGTAATCAACTTTAAAAGCAAGCATCTTTAAATATTAAAGTCGATGCATTTGGAGTTAATTTATGCTACTTCATTATTATGTCGTGTATTGATTAAGCAATAAGCTTCGTGAATCTGTAGCCCAAAAAAAGAGCTTCATGAATCATGATTGTAGCCAAAGTGATATATATGATATTCGTGGAGAAGAAGTATATATTTAAGCACATATATAAATTAAATAGTACGCGATTACACGTTGAAATTATATATGATAATCATAAATTAATTGCCAATTTTTATTAATTAATTACTCCTCTTATTCTATTTATGGGGCAAAGAAAGTATTCGTTTTGATTTTATTTGTATAACACTTCTCTATTTTTATATCTATCTTTATCATTTTATCCTTATCATCAATATATATTAACAAATCTATCTTATAGAAAGCATCCCATTGGTCAGATTTTGAGCCTTACCATTGGTCATTTTATCTTAGTTAAAATTTAATTATCTTCTCTCATTGATTCAATCAATTTTTCATGTGGCCCTACCTATTTTCAATTTCAAATTTTGAACTTGGGAGCATTAATTGAATCCGTTTTTCCTTATTCATGGCTCATGTCTGTTGCATTTTCCTATGTGTTTTGATCTTCCTTTTCAAAACATCTTATCTTATCATCAATATATCAATATCAATATCATCATCATCATCATCAACATATAAATCTTGGAGCTTCAACCTAATTAGTCAAAAAAATTGACTCTTATTGATTAATAGATTTAGACTAATGTTAATATGAAAAATTCTTTGGATTCATTGAGCCTTAAGTTATTTTTTTTAATGTATTTTTAGCAACTTTTTTAGAGCATTGATTCAAAAACAATCTCATGTTCAAATTTTTTGATCATTAACATTAATTCCATCTTACTATTCTTCTATATTCGTTGCACTTTTTCATGCCTTTTTAATTTTTCTTATCAATTAGATTTAATTTTTTTATTTTTTGAGCATTAATTTAAGAGCAGTCCCATTTTTAAATTTTTTTAATCATTAGTATTAACTCCATTCGACTATTTTTTTTGCATTTGTTATACTTTTTCATGCCTTTTCAATTTTCCTAATTAATGAGTTTTAATTTTTTTTATTTTTATGTATTTTCCTTATTCACTGTACTCAATATCAATCAACTTTCATCAACTATCATCTATAAGTGCTATTTGTAAAAAGGAAAAAAAGAAAATAAAATGAAGTTTAAGTTTGATTTGGATCATCAATCCTTATCTTGTTATTTTCACCATTCAAATTGTGGATGTTTCACCATATATTTTACGCTAACAAGATAACTTGGCAACTACTTAAGTACTATAAGCAAGAAAAACTTGAGTGGTAGAAGTATCTTTTTTGTAACTCTTTTGTTTTGCACATGAAAAAAGAAGAAGAATAGGAATTAAAAAAATACAAAAGAATAGAAACAATTAAAAAAAAGGAGGGATCCCTTTGGATTCTTTCTTATATCTATATTTATAAAAATATAATTTATGTCATAATTTATAAATTAGTATCTAATTTTTTGTCGTAATCAGAAATGAGGGGTTATTGAGAAATCTAAGGAAGTATTTTTTTGGGACCAATATTCTCTAAGCACCCTAAAAAAAAGTATTTTTGAGATAGGTTGTTCACTATAGGCTCAATAAATAAAGATAAAATGTGTACAAATAAAGTATCTAAGAAAAAAATGATTGAATAGAGAAACTCCTGAAAATTTAGTCATTTCAAATGTATCGATATCAATTATATTAATAATATTTATTTCAAATTCTTTAATTCCAACTTGTACAATGCACAGAAAACTGTTTGGTTAAATGCTAAAAAACTATAAAATATTAAAGTATTTTATTCTAATGCATATATATTTAATATGAATAAATTTAAAATTTATTAATTTTTTTATATAATTAGTGAGGTTGTAAAATATTTCTTCATTCATTCTAGTGACAAAAAATAACTTCTAAATAAAATGGGAAGGGGTATAGTTTATTCTATTTTAGTCAAAGAAGCTGGGAAGCAATGACGCAAGGTGGATTTTTTTTAAAAAAAAAAATTACTTCCATCCCTCTTTGACTGTTTTTTTTAAAGGAGAATTTCAATAAAGATTCATGGATCATGCTTAAAGTCTTTAAATGTCTGAAATTATAGAATGTTAGTATCTTATTTCATGGATCATGTATTAATTTAATATTAAATTTTTAAGGACAATAAAAAAATTACATCTCAATTAAATTAATATCAAAACTTTTCTATTTTACTTGTTTATTATATTACTTCACTTGTTAATTTACTTATAGAATGTTAATCATTACTTTGCTTAACTTGTTTTAATTTTAGGTATTTAAATTATCTTAAAATAACTTGTTGATTTCTATATTGTATATTATTTATTTGCTTATACATTGTTATTCATAGCCCTAAGTTAAAGTTTAATAATTAACAACATTCTGTGAATAAATAAATAAGTGAACTAGGGCAATGAATAAGTAAAA